TATGCTTAATGATTTGAAAGATCTGTTTTACACGAAATTGTATTAATGATTTCAAGGGAGGCACACGATTATTTTGTAACGAAGTGAATCAGTACAATCTGCAATGTTGAGAATTTCAGATCAACGAAATAAGGCTGTCGTGAAACCATCTGTGTAATTTCGTTGGGCACTTCACAGATGTGAGAATAGTTCTTTTTTTAAAACGACAAAGATTCGAGTCAACTAAATGGTCTGGTAATGATAGTAACTAACGTACTCCTGCGAAAACTCTCGCATGTTAATCTCCACGATTTCCCTCTACATTTCCTTCTCCTTTACATTAAGAAGGAAAGTTGTTAATGAGGCGTGTTTATTTGATAAAAGATGTGTAAATGTAACTTAGTACTTACAGAATATCAAACAAAAAAAACAAGCAATTTATTGTTGAAAACAAATTTTCAATAAAGGTTCTCAGTACTCGTATTATAGAGATATGTTCTTCGAACAATTCACGCTTCCTTTAAAACAACATTTGAAATAATTATTGAATCTTCTTTTACAGTTAGCTTTTCGCTTTCCTTGATAGTCACAAAAATATTAGAAAAGGATTTAACTCTTGAGAAAGCCAAGTAAAGTTTTCCATGCGAAAATGCGGATCGGGCAAGTACAACCCTACTCATAAAAAATTCAGGAGAGTTAAATAATATTGCTAAGTTGGCCCGGGTGTTCATGTACTAAAAATTGGGAAAACATGTAGTGTTTCTCCCGAATCGAAGACCTCTTTTTCTTCACTTGATCCCCAACTGATCTTCGAATGATAAAAGAACAGTTCTTAAAGAAGCGACTGCTGATTGGGCAATTTCAAGGGTGTCGGATAATTTGAAGGAAGAATTGAAGTGTTTGTTGAAAATTGGAGCAATATAATTATTCAGCTTTTCACCATAGAGCATTTGCTTTGATATGCATATGGACGCTGCAGCATCAGAATTAAATTAATGTATAACTAGTATGTATAAAATCGACATTTTCAGCATTGTAGCTGATACAATACATCCAGGAGCGTCATCTAGTTTATCCTTTATTTTTATATTAGAAATCCATGCGTCATCTATATCAACCGGAGATCAAATCAGTTCTGCAACTCAACGCGTGCCTAGTACATGTTAGAAGTGGTAATTTTGGATACAACACCTGCAGGGCTTCTCTGCCTTGAACATGTACGGAGCTGCATTAGTACCAGAAGAATGACGTTATTGTGTGTAACTCCATCAGGCCACAAAAATACCCTTGTATTGGTAACAGTTTTGCAATAGTCTGATGGTTGTATGTGGGTAACTCTTAACTAGTTAAAAAAAGAAACTTACCCTTTTCACCCCCCAAAAAAAATTAGACACGATGTTAGTTTCCGAAACTTCCTTTGTAATACTCAAAATAATCGGTTAACTAAAAAATAAGTATTTGGCCGGCTTAGATGAATTTCCGGATTGCTAAAGACTTGTGCGCCTGCCATTATAGACCCATTTAACTCCCATATTTAAAACATCCTTATGCACCGGAACTTTTCTATATTTCAAAACAGCTGAAATTAAGTCGCCTTTCAAAAAAGGCAACGTTGATGAAATTCAAAATTATCGGACAATTTTCCTTTCGCCAGTTTTTTAAAAAAAGTATTAGACTTTTTTTGTACGAACGGAAACTTTTCTCAGTAAACACGACGCGTTTTCAAATTATCAATTTGGATTTCAGAAATTTAAATGTACGGAGACATGCCTTTGCTACATTCATTCATCGTTACCACTGTCCCATAAGGTGTAACCCAATAGCTTCAGTGCCACATCGTGATTTTACTTCAAATTTTCTGCCCAGAAAGATAATTTACACACAACAGCGGAGGTTCGCGTTCGACAAACAATGGAAAAAATGCCAACGACACTTCCTGAGCTGGGCGAATAGTTTCTGGTGAAAGGTATCAAGGTCAAGGGATAACCCTGAAAGATGCAAAGTGGGTGCGCGATATCGCCTACTAATCATATCATATCAAATGTAACTTCCTTTGTGCTCTCTGCGATACTCCCGCTGAAAACCAAAACGCCAGAACCAGGGATTGCGTCGTCAATTTGTCTTTTTATTTGCAATGACATCGGTATTTACGATAGACTCATTCCAACACGGTGAAATAGTGGCATTTTAGAGACGAGTCCACAAAAATAGTAGGCCAACCTGAATTGTTTGTCTGGGAAATTCCTTTTCTCTCAGATTCCTTAAAAAACTAAGAAAAATGAATTAAATAAAAATTGCAGAAAAATGGAAAAATTAAATAATACGTACAAATACGTTCTTTTTGGTAAAATATATAAAAATATGTACTAAAAGGTCAACGTTTTCGGCACTTAGAGATATGAAACGTGAAGACATCGTTGATTCGACTCGACAGAGTTACGTTAGGAAAATATTACAAAATTATCCGGACCTTAGTTACGAGGAACAGAGGATGTTATGGAGGGGCAGGACGCCAGCTTGCTGGGGTGCGGAAATTGATATAATACACTAATTGTATACTTAAAAGTATTTGATTATTTTCTACGTTCTTACGTACCTCAAGAAAAGCAATTCTGAGCAATTCTGAGACAAAAATTAATAAAACTAATATTTTCACATTTGAGTAATAAATACCATTTTTTTCATTATAAACAATTCAGTAGGCTTAGACTTCACTTCGGTACATGGGAATATTGCTCAAACGATTTTTACGTATTGAATATATAAGCGAACCGACACCTGATGTTTAATATCAAACGGTGCATTATTTACAATATGGGTTTATAGCTGGGCATTGATGTAAATCCTTCCAGATATCGCCAGCATTTAAATCATTCGTTTGGATTGTTATCGTTAGCAGTTGTCAGTGACTTGCGTTATCCTTTCTATAATTTTAAATTTGGTTCCGTTTTTAAATTAATTCACGCGGTGTTGTAGGCTAGTGGGTATTGATTTTTGTTGTTCACTTATTTCAAGCTATTTTACTTTATTTAATTTAAAAAGCTTGTTTTTTGTGTTCTGTCATAACACAAATTTTCCCCTACTACCTCCATATACCCGTGAGAGAACGCTTGTATGCTAAATCTCACACTCTTCCCTAACCTATTATTTCCATTCTAAGAGGGAAAGTTGTTAACGAAACGTATTTATTTGTTTAAAAATGTATAAAGGTAACTTCAAATGTATTAACACAAAAATAAATCAATAAAAAAAAATACAATTGATGTTGAAAATAAATTTTAAATAAAGATTAATTCAGTATTATCGAGAGATTTGTTGTAGCAATGCATAACACTTCCTTAAAAATATTTGAAGTAATTATTAAATATTCTTTGACAGTTAGCATTTCACTTTTTGTGATAGTCTCAAAAATATTAAAAAAAACTTTCTACTCTTCGCAAACTTAGGATACTGAACAAGCTCACTTCAAAGTGTCATCGAATCACTGCTAACGAAAATATTGGTACAGGTAAAACACAAACCATCTCTAACAAAACACGTCTTCACTCTTCGCTGTACATCTACATCCCTCCACATGTAGGTATTATGCACAGCATTTGTAGCAAAATGGTTAGTGAATGTTTTCATTACACGCAAGATAAACAATTTTTATTGGTATCAAGGAACTATTAATTGTACTTCTAGTTGTTGTTGCGAGAGCAAATCTTGAATTAATAATTATGCAAATAAAACTCGCCAGTCTGCGCAAACGACTGTGTCCACAAAAAGCGTAATTAGTGTAAGATTGTGGAATCTATTCCTTCTAAGCATGGCATAGCAAAGATGGCCACCGTCACTCCGAGTAATATAAGTGGCAGTAGTATCGCTAAGTGCCCAAGCAGCGAACATTTAATAGAACGTCCAAGAATATCTCATCCTGTAGATCACGGTGTGAGAAACGTTTCTTTGACGCCAACGACCTCAACATTTTACTTTTTAAGGCTCTATAACGCTTCGTCTAGGAGTTTTTTATCAATATAAGTGACCGAATGCTGCAGGTTGCATTTGACATGAATATTTGGATGCGATTTTTTTAAACAAATCCGTCATATTTTTAAAGTCAAAGTGCCATTTGTCACTTGCCCATAAAATTCTTTCTTTCTCATTTATAACGATCGGCTGCGTGAGAGAGTCGCAAAAAGGTATTTATACTAATGAAATAATAAAATGATAATACGACGATGATAATAATAATAATAATAATAATAATAATAATAATAATAATAATAATAATTCTAAAATCAGCCTGACACCAGGAAGTAAGGCGTGCTCATACGCTTTCACGATTAAACTTCTCTATTATTTCAAAACAATTGTACTTGTTGAGATTGTTGTTTGTTCTGTAATGAGTGAAGCAATGGAAGTCGTTTCAGGTGGCAATCGCCTCGAGCAAAGCGTGGTGAGGGAGGACTCGTGCAGACCGAGACGGGGGCGGCAACAAGGGAAATAGGACGGACGCCGTGCGCATACTGAGCAGTACAGAACAGTGCTTCAACCCAGCCACCTACCCGTCTGCTCACAGCTCGCCACTTTCAATCCACATACCCATTTATCCAACTACCACCCACCCACCGGCCTGCACACATCTTCGCCTGCGCATCCCATCCACCTTCCTGTCCGTCCATAAACCCACCTACCCAACACACCCACACACCCACCTACCCCCCCACCTTCCTGTCATTCCACACACACACACACACACACACACACACACACACACACCTTCCTGTCCGTCCACCCACACACCTTCCTGCCCACGCACCCACTCACTCACCCACCCACTGCAGCGCAGAAGGGTACGACAGCCCTAACGCCAACTATTGTTAATAACCTCGCTGGTGAGGTTGATCCCTTCTAAATTAAAGAAAAGATACCAATGCAGATATTGATACCTGACAACACCCCTGTTCTTTAACAATTTAGCCAAGCTTTGTGTCTCTTCCGTTTGTGATACTGGCAACCAACCCCGGGGTGTGTTCCAGATGGCGGTGGCGCTGGCACTGGCGCTGACGGTGGCGCTGTGGCTGGCGCCGGAGCCGGCGGGCGGCGGGCGGGTTTTGGCCCTCTTCCAGCTCAACCACCACAGCCACTTCGCCATGTTCGAGACGCTGATGAAGGCGCTGGCCGCAAAGGGCCACCAGGTAGACGTGCTGAGCCACTTCCCGCAGAAGACGCCGCTGCCCAACTACCGGGACCTGAGCGTGAAGGGCGCCCTGCCCGACCCGCACAACACTGTGTCCGTGCAGAACGCGCTCTCCTACTCCAACTCGCTCGCCAGCCTCAACTTCTTCTGGGTGCAAAACCTGGAGATGTGCGAAGAGGTAGGCAAACATATTGCAAATGAAATCCCAAATGAAAGTGAGACAGCTGAAGGTTGGAAATGGATGACACTCGAGAGTGGAAAGAGTACAGAATACTGATAACAGCAAGGGACTTTTAGCGCCACTGTTTAAGAGAGACACGTTTTACACTGTCACGTGACGAGTCTGGAAGTCGAGGCGCCTTACCTGAGCACTAAGGCACGACCTTTTGTAAATAGTACATGCCTATTGATGTCTCTGAGGTCACTTTACAAACGGCAAAATTGACGCCTATAAACAGGAAAGTTGCATTTTCCAATTCTGATAAACTGATTCATGTGAGGCAAGTAAATCCTTATCAACACTCACAATTCTGGCAAAAATTAATGGGAAAAGTAGAAAAGATGACAGGTAAAAAATTAGTGAAAAAGTTGAAATCATGCTTTCGAGTTAGGTTATGTCTTATGCTCATAGCGAACGCTGTAATTAGATATTTTCTATATTCTCAAAAAAGGTCAGGCGCCGTACTCATAGCATAGTGGCAGAAAATGTAAAACGTCTTGTGTAATACTCGTATATAATTGTCACCATTCCTGTCACCTTGTTGGACGTAATTACGCTCCGAGAATGTATTACGCAGTTGTAACTGCGGTAACAACGCATTTTAATAATTAAATTTATTCAACGAATTGGTTGCCCCTACCGGGATTCGAACCCGGGTCTTCTGTTTACGCCCAGCAGCTGGGCAACTCTTACGAGTCTGTGAGTGTGTTCGCAGCAGCGATCGTGTTATTATTTTGATGTGCAGGTGAATGAGCGCTCTCTGATTTGGGATGCCTGCCAGGGATTGGATATTCTCTTCAGTGTCTGTTGGTTAAGAGGCGATCGCGTGTTTCTTGTAGGTTCGCTGGGTGCGTGGGTGTAGATGCTTTGGGGAGTGTTCGTCGCAATATTGGTATTCTCTTATCTGTGGGGGTGGTGCATGCAGAGGCGTCGTGTGACCTGGAGGGTGTGATGGGCTCGCAGGTGTACAAGCAGCCGGCGGTGCAGCAGCTTCTGCGGTCCACTGAGCGCTACGACCTGGTGGTGACGGAGCTCTTCGGCGTGGACTGCATGATGGGCTTCGGCCATAAGTTCGGCGCGCCCGTTGTCAACATGGTGTCGTCGGTAATGCTGCCTTGGGGTAACGACCGTGTGGCCAACCCGGACAACCCGGCGTACGTGCCCATCTACTTCCTGCCCTTCTCGCCGCCGCTGTCCTTCGGGCAGCGCGTGGCCAACGCCCTCGCCCTCGCCTTCCTCAAGGTGCGCTCCGAGACTTCAGGTTTTTCGCTTTGCGCAATTTGGTTTTTGGACACCTCCATGCATAGAATCTTAACAGGGTAGCAAATATTTCGAGAAATCTTTTTTTTTAATCATTAACACGCAGATTTATTCTTACGTTGTCATTTGAAAAGTTTCACTTCCTTCTCAACAGGATTTAAATCTAACGTAATCCCGGTCGGATTCAAGTTACAACACAGAATGAACAATAGATATTCAATAGGAACAAAAATATTTATAATTATGCATTAGTGTCACATTGTTGTTCTATATTAATATAAATATTTGTAGTCCGCTTCCTTAAATTGTTGAAATTAATTTCTGGACTATTAATATTTTTACTGTCTCTACAATGTATAGTCTAGAGAAAGTATTGTATTGCTGTAGAAAAAAACAATTTTATTACAGAAAACCCTGATACCTTTTCTACCTCCATTTTCGCCTGATACAGCGAAAGTGGTTTTCTCTTGCTCATATTCGCAGTAAATTATTCTTACAAATACCCTCAACACAGAATGCGAAATCTTAGTGACAAAGGGTTAACCAATTTTCTGTTTATAATTGATATCTGTGTGCAAAATATCACGTTTCTAACAATTTTTTAATACTAGAAGTGTGTTAGAAGTGAAACAATCTATAGAAATAGGAAAATGAGGTTAAAATAATATTTTTGTAGGATGAAGAATATATTACACGACTTCTTTTACAACATTCCTTTCTTGAATATCGAGTTTGTTTTCAGTATAATTTTCAAGCGATTTTTTCTTCTGAGAAAAAAAGATCCCAAAGATTACGCTATTTGGGGCCGGCGGCCGACACCGGACTTAAATGTGAAAGTTAACTATTTAATTCGTGGAATTAATAGGACGTAGATTTACGATTTTCTTGACTATATAATTCTTTCTGGCCAAAAACAAAAGTCATGACAATTTTCGAGTTTGGCGCATAATAAAGAAAGAAAATACGTGTTTCTTCACTCTTTGCTAACTGACTCAATGTATTGACTTGTTCTATAACGAGGAAAGAGGTGTCACTTCAAATAAAACCTTGCTAGCATAAAAATGGTATGTATATAGTGTCGAGTTCTTCTTAATTGAGGTCCTGGAGAGATGGCCCAGGGCAACATCTTTTGCCATTGTGGTACGTCTGATCGGGAGGACTTAAAGTTCGAGTCCCGACGAGGGTAGCCACATAGCTAAGTCGAATTCAGCCGCTGAGCTGTCTGAAGGAAAATTATGGCGACCGGCTGTTCTGGTCGACAGTTCTTTGTGGTGTCTGCGATCCAGGCGGATACCGGAGAAGTATCTTAACAAAAGGGCCACGAACCGCGCGCGAACTTTCTTTCTTCATATTGGACACCTTCTCTTTTTTAGACACACTTACTCACGTGCACTACATTACTCACTACTAACAGTGGTCGGATGACCACTGCTGGGAGTGAACCTCGCTGGTTTGGAGAGGAAAATTCCGCAATCCAAAGTGTGAGACTATGCTGGAGCTCGTCACTTATCGGGATGAAACACAAATCAATGAATCTGAATTTTGATGGGTGTGGCAGGTGGGGAGCTACGTAGTGGGCGACCGCTCGACGGAGCAGCTGCTGCGCCGCCACTTCGGGCCGACTCTGCCGTCGCTGGCCGAGCTGCAGCGCAACGTCAGCCTGGTGCTGGTCAACAGCCACTTCAGCCTCAACCAGGCGCGCCCCTCCGTGCCCGCGCTCGTCGAGGTGGCCGGCATGCACATCGCCGAGCCACGCCCCCTCCCCGAGGTGAGCGCCCGCACCCCCTCTCTTGGGATGACGAGGAGAGGCTGAAATCAAACATGCTTTCTTTTCGCTGCGTCATTATCTTTACATTCTATTGACGCTCTTAAACTTCATCTTTACACTGCATTGACACACAATTATGAGAAACTCAAGTACATAATTTTTAGAATTGAGACAATGATTTGATGACTACGTTCGATGAATGCTTACGTTCGGCGAATGACTACGTTGGTTGAAAAAAAAAGTTTGAGTATTACAATTATAAGATAAGAAACGCACAGAAAAAATCAGCATTTTTACTTGTATGTTTATTACAATATTTGTGTTACATGTAGGAGAAACTGATTATAACGTTCGAGCATTTTCAATATACTACATTCCTGTGCGCCGTCAGTGTCTTGTGGGCCCTACGTGTCGGTTGGCTGCACAATCGGACGACGAGTCTGTGGCCGCTGGAGTGATGCTCGTGTGTCGCCTTGCAGGACCTGCTTCGGTTCGTGGAGGGAGCGAAGGAGGGCGTGGTGTACATGAGCTTCGGGTCGCTGGTGCGCTCGGAGACGCTGCCCGAGACCCGGCTGCGCTTCGTGGCCGAGGAGCTGGAGGCGCTTCCGCAGCGCGTCGTGTGGAAGCTGAACGCCACCGACCTGCCCTTCGCGCTGCCGCCCAACGTGTACGCGCGGCCCTGGCTGCCCCAGGCAGACATTCTTGGTGAGACACACCATCTGGCAGCGCCAATATTCTACAAAAAATGCCGGACCGGGATGCTACGTTCGAGTAGGCTTCCGCGACCAGACTCGCTTGCTACGTGGCTGTCCGGGAGTCGCGGCGCCGCATGCCCAGGTTTCGCCCTGAGGAAGGCCGCAGAATTGCAGCCGAAGCGTTATTACTTAAGCCTAGAACGCGGGGTCTCCCGGCCTCCCAAGAGGGGAGTGTTACGTTACCGACTTAGAAACATTTAACATCTAAAACAGATTCTACTATGACAATAATAATAGTAATAATAATAGTAATAATAATATTTTTTATTTACTAATGGCGAGGCTTAGGCCATAGGATGTGGATCACTATCTGTCTGACGACTTTGGTGAATACTCGTAAACTTTTATGCAAAGTTGAAACATTCAAGAGAGAAGGGTAAACTGTAAATTTACAAATCGGTGTACAAAACAAGGGTTTGTCGTGTACGTGGGTTGGGAGTTTCAATGATATAGTATTACGTATTATTACGTAAGATATTACGTAGTTAACTACGTAGTTTCACCAGTTTTAGTACAAATTCATTCTTCCAGCGTTTTGTTTACATTACGGTAGCTGGTGTTTTTATTTATTCTGCGGCACGCTGGATGGTTCAGCTTTCCAATCAATAAATTGTAGACTAATGTAGTGTATTTCAAATACGGGTGAAGCAAAGACGTGTGAATGAAAGGCATTTTCCCCAGTATTATCATCTCTTACTATATGAAGATTGTCTAAAATTTTAAGGAATGAAATACGATATTTCCACCTAGGGCATTAAAATGCGAGCGCCTTTGCTTGTTCCCGTCCGCTTGTGAAAGCCGCATACCGAGAGAACGCCACGCGCGGTTGGTGGGCATTCAGAGGGGCGGCATGGGGCCCCCCGGAAAACGGCGCGGCGTGCGCTCGTGCCTGCGATGCATTTGAAGCCCCGACTGGCATAAGAGGCGCTCACGTTCGGTATACAGGATAGATCTGCAACGTTCTTTTTCATCCTCTGGTCAAATCACAGAGGGTAAATATGTTACAAACGAATCCTGCTAGTTCCTGATTGTTTTTCGGGATTCGCGATTGGGATTGGCTTGACGTATCTCGCTAACTTTTCCTAACCCTTTTACCAGCCATCCCAAAAAGGCGTAGCCCGAATACAACCTGTTCGGTTTTCTCCCCGAGTACAATGATGATTGCTTCGATGATCGTTCTTTCTTTTTCGTTTTTCAAGAATATGAAAAATAACAAACGCTCATTTTAACGTTGTACACTTTGTATTACACTTGCATTATAATGGTATGAGAGAGTAAAGAAAGCTTATTAATTTAAAATTCAATTGTACCTTATGTTCTTAATTTATTGAAACTAATTTTTACAATAGCATAGGCTGCTAGAGAAGGAAGTGGAAAAAGACCTCGATGGTGTTCATATAAAATAAAACAAAGTAAATCACTATTTTTAATTAAGTACATTAAGAAATAAATATATACAAGGAAAATTAAATCAGTATGGTTTTTTTAATGAGTCTCTTTGCAGAAAAAAAGAAAAAGAATAGAGAACAAAATTTTACTTTAAATTTTCTGCAAAAAACAAAACGTAAAAACGAACATAAATTTGCTTTTTTATTCTTGGAATCGAGAATATTGCAAAACGTTTCCGCACTTGATATGGGAGAGACGAAATGAACACGTGAGAGACGAAAGTGTTTACGTGTGCCGTAGCTCACCCGAACGTGCGCCTGTTCATCACGCACGGGGGCCTGATGGGCACGCAGGAGGCCGTGCACTGGGGCGTGCCCATGGTGGTGGTGCCCTTCTTCGGCGACCAGCATCTCAACGCGCGCAACTACGTGCAGCGCGGCCTGGCCGTGCGCCTGGACAGCGCAGCCTTCACGCGGGAACAGCTTCGCGACGCGCTCCGCACGGTGCTCGGCGACTCCAGGTGAGCACGTGCACAGGGATGGCGAAAAATTTCGTTATTGTCCATCAGAAACATCGATATGTTAACATCGATGTTTTGTTTTCCATGTTTTTTCAGATCGATTCAAATTTTTCCAGACATTCCAAGTTTAAAAAAAGTTTCTTTGCGATGATTTTGTACGTTGTAATATCGTTGAACTGAATTTTGAACATTGTCAGTTCAAAATATAGATTAGAAAATGAAGGTGACATAATTTAAGGCAGAATATACTTCAAACTAATATTTACGTATTATGTATATTAGATACAGGACGTTTTACTTTGATAATTTATGAATGAAAATGACTAAATTGAATATTATCACAATATCCTTTATTTGTTATTTCCATTTTTACATTTGATGAACATTAATATTAACATATTGCTTATACGTTACCGAACAATAAAATATACCGGTATTTATGTCGATAAGTAATCTAATCGATGGATGGGAAAATACCATCTGCTTTATCATATTTAAAATATCGATATGTTAAACAGAGATGTTTATATAGATGTTTTCATCGACATCGAAAAGCTTTTGGTGATATATCGAAATACGAATGCATCGACGTTTCGATAAATTTTTCATCACAACACGCACACATTAGGTAGGGCACGCGCGGATTCAGTATGTGGTACCTCGCTTACGCGGGCCGGGACGAACAGGAGTTGGCAATGCCAAAATTGAGGTAAATACCTCGATAGTGACATAGTCTGGAAGACTAAAAGAAATATATTTCAGATTTCGATTTATTTACTCAAAAAACAGTAAAACTGTATGTGGCGTATGGGAGAGAAGATCATCAGCCCACGTTTTCTTGTGTTCCAGAATTCCTTCCCATCATTTTATCTAGAAATATTTGAAAGATCAGTAAAAGTTTAAAATAAATAAATAAAAATAAATTTTAAAAAAGTGCAAGATTAGCAATATTTGATAAGAAAGTATACATTTTCGTTTCCGAGTTATAGAAAACTTATTTGCTTTGGTAAACGAATTGCAGGTATGATTTTTCTGCATTGCTAACGAAATAGTAACACCCCCTTTCCTCTACAACAAAACGAGCCCATAGTGAAGCTATATTTACGTCCAGAAGCACAACAAGGGGCCATTTCAGCATTTGCTAAATGGATCAGGGAAACTGAACAAAAACCTGATCGAGATGAGAGTCATTGACCTGGAAGCTAAAGTAGATTATTTATTACAAATATATTGAATCTTATAAAAAGTTAAACAATACAAATGTAAACTAATTCAATACATATCATTGTTTACTTAAAATAAACATTATTTTTCTTTTTGATAATCAGTAAAGTCTCTAATTGTATAGAAACAGTTACGCTCTTTGGCTACTCCAGGCACAGCGACCATGCGACCCGCGGGCCTTATCCCAAGCGCATAATAAATTTACGACTTGCGATTAATATTCTTAAATTTGATGTACTAAATTACCTATATTTATTTATGAACAAATTACATAATAAAATTTTGTTTAGAAATAGATAGGAGGCTTTGTTTTTCCATAAAACTTTTTCGATCGCATTAAGGCCTTTTAGTGATATTCTGAGGCGGCATTGTTAGAGACAAAACAATGTCATGTCGTAATGATGCCAAAGTCGTAAATGCCATACTATTTCCTAGCAAAACGTTGTTTACTTAAACTATCATTTTAATATTTCCTCTGGATAATGACAATTTTTTATTCCTAATCTGACCTAGGGACAAAAACTGTTTCCTACGCCTGAAGTGGTCCCTCTGAACACTTGCGTAGTAGCGACAGATATAAACTACGAGTATCCCGGGGGACTTGCTGAGGTTGCCCTTGATCTCTCTGCCTCTTTGGTATAATAAATACACTACCTTTCAGTGCAGGTTTCATCAAAATCGGTTTAATCTCTTCTATGAATACTCCAGACAGGCGGAATTTTAAAATATCCAGTTTATGTTAATTCCATTTAAATTCGTGTCGTCCTCGTTCGTGTCTAATAAATGGTTGCAATAAAATAATGATACTTCCTCTGATTCAGTAGTTAGAAATGTTTCATCAAAATGTAAACAAAATGGTAACTACAAAATGTAAACGGTTCTATCCATTATCTTCAATTTTCATTATATTTCCTCCTTGAAACGTACATTTATTCGAACAACTCCTCTCGCAAACGTCAATGAACGCGTCGACTACTTCGCGAAGCTGTTTCGAGTTAACTTTGGATTTGCTACTCTGAAATGAAAATATGTTTTACAGATAGTAATGAGTTTCGTTGTCTGCTACACATTACACTGTTATCCAAATTGTTTTGATTTTTAGTTGTATCATAACCCTATGGACATATTTTAAACGTTTTTAACATGTTCATAAGTTTCCTTCTATGCACTGTATAATTGCTGAATCTGTACGTTGTTAGTTCAAATTGTGCAGTGTTGCAGTTGTAGTGAGCGAGCAGTGAGGTAAGTTCTGAGAGAGCCTTTGTTGCAGCTATCGGGAGAACGCAAGGCGGCTGAGCGAGCAGTTCCGCGACCGGCCGCAGGCGCCGCTGGAGACGGCGGTGTGGTTGGCTATCGCGCCAGTTTTTTTGGTATATAGCTCAGAATCTCGGAGGCTGCTGCAGATTTCCGCAACTCCACAGCGGGTATCTCTGCTGCATTCCTCCTCACCTTTGCGACGTTCTCACCAGCATCTTTCAAAGATGTGGTCGCCCTGGATCTGCCTTAGAAGATCAGCATAGGAAGGGCCTCCGTCATTTGCCTTAACAATAACGAGTTCGGGGCAATAAGAAGTGCGGCTTCGGCGGCCTACGTCTCTTCCTCCTAGACATGCCAATCCATCTCATGATTTTGGTGTGGTGTCTCATCAGACGGTTTGTGCGAGTGCCTGAGGAACTTTCAGTGCATGTTTGAATGTTCCTTCCCTGCGACCGACTCTGATAGTTCTTCTCTGCTTCCACTCCCGTAGATTTTCAGCGGTCTCTCTTTTTCCTCGACGGAAGTTCGTCCACGCAGCCTATGTGGACCGCAACTCGCCGCCGCTGTCAAGGGCCCACGCACAAATCATCAGCATTCGGCCAATATCAGAAGTCTGTGGTGGAACCTGCGTCTCCGCCTCCACCGTTCCTCAGGCAATCACATCATTAACTGCGGTTCGCACCTCGCCGCCGAGGACCTACACGTATATCAAGAATTCCGGCCAACACCCGACGTCAGCGGCAGAGTCCGTGTCCGTGCCTCAACAGTCCTTCGCGCCAATTACATTGTTCCCGCGTAAGCTGCACCTCCGGTCGAGGGCCCTTCATAATCATTCAGTTATTCAGATCGACACCCCATGTCTGAGGTGATGTCTGCGTCTCCGCCGTCAACTGTTCTCAAGCTAATTACAGATAGTGACTCTCCATGTCCACATTCTCATCAAATCAGATCGGATGGACTGACCATGACGCTTTATTCACCGTGGACATTTATCCTTGGCAGGACAAAATGCAGGAGATACGGATCTCGTTCCCAACTCCAGAAACTTTCTCTTCTATTCTCTTCCCAGACACACTTGTGAGCTTGGCTCCCTCCAAAATCCATGGAGCCGGCACGCGCTATCGGGCTTTCACCCGATCAGAATCGGGTGCGAGAGTCGGCGTCAAGCGCTCGACTGCACTTGGGGTAGTAAGTTTTGAGGGTCGACTCATACCGCATCACTGGTTTATTTTTCGGGGTGACCGTTCCATTTAGCGTTTTTATGCTACCGCCAGCAGAGATGGAATTGGAAGGAAGGTGAGAAGGGGATTTTCGTAGGGATAGGGAGCAAGTTCAAATAAGCTACTCAGTCCACCTATTGGATCTTGCGGGATGGGAGGAAAACTAGGTGGGAAAGTAAGGATATTAGAGGGAAAGGACAGCGGACAGCTGCTCCTTTTAGTCGCCTTTTACGACAGACGGAGTCCCGTGGCGCTATCTACAAAAAACCCCGGCAATCACACAGGGCAGTGTGTATGTGTGTATATTGTGTATGTGCGTATATATGTTATATGTGCGTGTATATGTATATGTGTATATATAATATGTGTGTATGTATGTATGTATATAATATGTGTGTAGTATGTATGTATATATATATATATATATATATATATATATATATTATAATGTGTGCTGTGTGTGGTGTGTGCGTGTGTGCGCGCGCGTGTACGCGAGTGTGCGCGCGTGGTGCGGTGTGTGCGGGCGTGTGCGCGCGCCGCTGTGTGTGACGCGTGTGTGTGCGCGTTGTGTGCTGGCGCGTGTGTGTGCTGCGCGTGTGGTGCGCGCGTGTGTGTGCGTGTGTGTGTGCGTGTGTTTCCC